GCAGACTCTGCTCAGCTGGGAGTCCCAAAAATCTGCTGACAATCAGCAAATCCTAACATCATGATTGGAGTCCAGCATGTGCAGGAATGTCATGGGCAATGGAAATCAATCTAAACTGCTGGGATAGTGGGCGGGGGGAAGGGGCTGAGGATGGAAGAGAATGAAAGGGAGAATGTGGCTTTGATCTGGGTGAAAACTGATCCCAGGCCTGCAGATACTGAAGCTGCGGTGGCCGGCAGCGGTGCAGGCGAGCTGACATCAGTGAGAAAGCCAGGATTCTTCCACAACTTGTTATTGGATAAGCAACAGAGACGTGTATAAAATGAGTTTTGTATTTATTAGAAACGGGTGGGGGAGGGGCTAACCACAGTAAAAGAAAAGGTTTTAGAAGTTGGGGGCAGAAAGTTTGCCCCCTAACTGCCTGGTTTTACACATCTGCACTGAGGGCTAATTTCCTCTAAAAAACTCAGCTGGTCTCCATACAGAGCTTTATGAGTCTTTTTTGGTGCCAAGGATTAACAAACGAACAGAAATCTGAATATCAGAAGTCAGAGTTTTACTTATAAACTGAACAGGAATGCGCTTGAATTAATCCCATTTTCTCAACGCCGTCATACTTTCTTTCACTCCTGCAACTATTTCAAAGGAGAAACGACGCAATTTTAACATCATGCCATGATAGAGTTGCGTGTGAAAGAGGATCCTTTACACTCAGCATGTGGTCTCTACCCCCGACAATCACATCTGCTTCCCAAAAACAGACTCTCACAACAACACGGAGCCCGCACTTCACAGCTCTCCGCGGCTCAAACCAACTCACAGGATGTGCAGAGTTCACAACAAGAAGAAGGCGCCTTTTTGTTCTTCCCAACCAGGTGGGAGCACTTCCTGGACAGCTCGTCTTCCCAGGACAGACGCAGAGAGAAAACTGGCTTTAAGGTGGACAGCTTTTGCACATTTCTGCATTTTATGGAGGAGAAATTTGTAACAGAAACAGACGCAGGGAGCGGCCATCCAGAGAGCAGCAGCCGGTGCGTGGACAGAAGCAGAAACTTTTCTTTTGATTCAGCATTTGGACCTCTTTTGTCATGTCCAGCTATCTAAAGGTAGAGATAAGGGATCTGGAAGAGCATCAGATACACCAGCCTCTTTTTTTGAGAGGGCAAAACTTAGAACTAGAAGCAAAAAAAAAAAAAAAAAAAATCAAAGGCACTTCATCGACTTTGTAGATAAAAAAAAAAAAGATTGGATCTAACAGGTTGCAACCAAGCTTGGTCCTTATCAGGACCACCATCTGCTGCAGCTCGGATTATGTTGACACCTGCCACATTTGCTCCGCTTCAAAACAACCAGTTTGATTTCCCCGCTTGTTCTGCACTGGAAAAACGATCTAGAAATAAATAAAAACTTCTTAAATTAAGTGTATTTACCCTTAATTTGAGCAGGTAAATGAGATGATTTGCCAATGGACTGAGTATTTTTACTCTTAAAATAAGATATTGAGATAAAATGCACTTGAAATAAGACAATGCAATTGTGTTTTCTTCTTTAAAATGTAAATTGAGATAAAATGCACTTGAAATAAGACAATGCAATTGTGTTTTCTTCTTTAAAATGTAAATTGTCTTGTTCCATTGGCAAAATTTATCTTTTACCTCCTCAATTCAAGAATAAATGCACTTATTTTAAGAAAAAAAATGACTTATTTAGATTTCGATTTTGCAGGTGGTCTCGGCCCGGTTTCAAACAGACTCTGGTGCGGTTCGCTTTAGGTATAAATACAAACCGGCCTCCGTCTGCTCCATCATCTTTTTGGACTGAGCTAGCCACCGTAGCATTAAACGTCATATCAAAAATAACACCTGCTTTCCTGTCTGTTGCTTAGCAACGCTGCTACCAGCAAGTGGTGGAAATTGCTCGGCCTTTAAGGATGCATTCTCCAACACGAAATTAAACAAACAAAAAAAAATCTTGAAAATTTACATTAAGTAAGCTGATTTTGACACTCGTACTAGTTTTTTTAGCTGCATAAATATTAAAACCAAGGCGCTCGATGCTAGTTTTTCTCCATTTACGGTTCTTTGCTCTGTCCTTCCAAAGTAATTTCTGACCAGTGGGACAATTCACACAGAATTTAATTTGCTCCTAGCTGTTCCCTTGGAAAAAGCACAATTTGAATACAAATCTGAACTAAAGAATAAGAATAAAATCTACTTTTAGTCTGGACCAAACAAGCAGAAAATTTTACTTTTTTAGCGTGAATACATCCCTGGAGACCTGTTGTGAGTCAATGCCCTGCACCAACGGGCTACCTGAAATAGGGGGCGTTTCCAACAGTTTGAGAGCCAACTCAACATAAATGAGAGGTGATGCACCACAGAGGATTTAGTAGAAGAAGAGAAAAAACATGGTGAATAAACTGTTAAATGTAATGACAGCGTCTGAGTGGAGCCATCGAATCCATACATACTTTGACCAATCCAACCATGTCTTCCCGTTTTGTAAAAACACTTTATACAAACATTTTTTTGCCAAGAATGTAAGTTTGATTCTATCAAATATCTCATTTTTCTATAGACAACAATTACATCAATTCAAAGTATAGATATTTTGATATATCATTAATGATTCAAAATATGAAATTAAATTTAAATGTAAAAATAATAATTTATAGACGATCATCCAGTAGGTAAATGGCAGCATTGAAGAACCCATTATAAGTGTGCTCTGCACCACCCACAGCAGAGCAACAAGGACATCTTGTAAGGTTTTGTGAAGCCATATGGATATAAAAATCTCAACACATCTTTATTATTTTATTGTGATTTACTGGAATAAATCACAGTGTAATGCACATCAGACTCTTATCAATTAACACCCCTGGTATTTACAAGATGTCATCACACATATCTGGAATTTCCATGTCTGAAGGTGTGTTTGGCCTCAGTTAAAACCCGAGTTTGAAAGTGGCTGTTTTTTTTTGTTTTTTTTTGCGTACGCTCCGTAGTCAAACCATACAGAGCACCTGTTTGGTCTGTTTTTGTTTAAGTCAATCCTACAGGGCTGCTAACATTTCCCTGCCCTACTATCACCACTCCTGTCTCTATTTAGATTCCATCACATGAACGCACAAACATGCAGGTCAAATTCTCGTGCGTATCCTCCAAATGATAGAAAAGGGTTTAAAAATGGGTCCAAATGACCTCAATTAATTCCCCCCCCAAAATGTCCTTGATGAGAGCGAAATTTTACCCAAGGCAGATTCCTTGTTTGTGTGCACAAGCTCAGCTATTAAAGTCTTAGGGAAGCGGCCTCTCCAACCATTGCATTTTCGAATTCTCCCGAGTGGTGCACGACTTTACACGAGTGAATAAAGTGAATGTGATTGGTCGATTATCAAGGGGGCGGGATTGTTGTGGCTTGTTGGATTGTTTTGTAGTGTCGTGGTTTGCAAGCAAGTTTGGTTGTGGTCGGTTTCTCTGAAGCATGTTGCTAACCAGTTAGCAACTTAGTGCTAGTAGGTTCCAAATGAGAAATTCCATTGGGACCAAGTAGCACTAAATTAGTGACTTAGAAACGACACTGTCAAGGAACGCTATGGACAGAGGAAACATGCAAGAGGAGGAGAGTTTAGTGTCGGAGGTCGTGGATGAGTCTCCTCTGTCATACATTTTTTATTTAGAGGAGGAAAGCGGGGATGAAGATGTTGTGGAAGAGGACGCCAGGGCGGCAGAAGCTTGGTTTGGTGTAGAAAGCTTACAGCCGTACATGTTTGAGCCCTTGCCTCGCAACGCTGCCAGTTCTGTTAGCTCTACGCCTGCTGAAGACACAGACGTCCAACCCCGTGAACACTGGGACGGAACTCAATGGGAAAGGAAATGATTATTATTTCTTATTTCAACCGTTGCGTATATTAGCTGCGACATATGAATCAAGTTGGTATAACCGAAAACGTTTGCTTGACAGATGACCGTTTATATATGATTGGCTGAATTTAGGTGTACAAGCTGACGTAACTGGCCTGCATAAGATAACGAGAAAAAAACAAAAAACCCCCCACAGATTTTAAGAAATATGGTCTGATAAAGAGTACATATAGATACATGTTTAAACCAGAATGATTTGACATTTAGATATGACTTCCCTATGGCTTTAAAGCAGATTCTAAAGATAAACTCTAAACGTCACATCTTTTTATGTTTCAGTTTATTTCTTTTCAACAAGACGACATGTATGTCCTTATTAAGTACATGGTTTTGTAGTAGGATTGTTTTCTTTTTTTTCACCCCCCCTCCCCGCTATCTGCAAAAGAAGTAAATATTGTACAATGATGAAAAAAAAAAAAAAAAAAAGATTGATGCAATAAAATTGAGTTTTAACTGAAATTGTTGAAAAGCGCTGAAAGAATTTAAATTCCTTTTTGCTTCATTGAACCGGTATGTTGTGGAACATTTTCAAAACGAAGACACCCCCCCCCCCCAAAAAAAAAACCTTGAGACCAGACCTTCTGTTCCCATTCAGTCTGCTCAGATCCTGATAAAAATTATTCTTTGATAGTTCAAAAAATAAATAAAAAAGCAAATATTCTGATGCCAGTATCAGAGGAGTTTCTGCTCCAGGAAGCTCTAACAGTTAACCGGGTTTTCTACAGTTTATTAGACCCAGCACCACTTTCACAGAAACTGGAGAAGGTTTGTAGAGAACAATAATTCAATTAGATTCAAAAATGCATGAAATAATATTAAAGGAAAAAAGTAGCCTGGATCAGCTGCAGAATTAAATCCTTCTATTGTTCCAATCAACATCTTGGTGTCTTTAGGCCTAACACTGGCGGACATTGTGTTTACTGCACTGGAAATGAAATGTAATTCCTAAGTATCTGTTTGGAATCAGGAACCTTCTGCGTTTCTTTCGATCAGTTTTTTTTATTTTTTTCCCCCCTTTGTTGGGTTTCAGTTCAAGTTCAGTTGAACCAGAAGCAGAAGCGGGCTGGTACTCACCGTTCTGGCCATGGGCGGCGACAGGGAGCCGTTGTTCATGTAGGAGTCGTTGTTCATGTTGCCCATCATGATGTAGCCCGGGTAAGCCGGGTACGGGTGGCCTTTACTGTACATGTCCGGGTGTTTTCCTGTTCCAAAACACAGCAAAACCAGAATTAGTCTGATAATCTTTGGATTTATTAAAGTACCAGAACCAGAAGCTTCTCATCCTGAATGGATTTTACTAAACAAAGCTACTCTGAAGTTCACCTGGTCTGAGGGTGCAGTAATGATATCGCTGTCTGTGGCTTTAACCCTTCGCCCCGTTGCGCCTGGGCCTTTTGTTCGCCTCGTCAAAGAGAGGAGGGCTGCATTATACCGGGGAACAATGGAGCCCCTCTGTGCCAATTAGCACCAATTAGAAGAACATACAGACTGTGTCAAAACAGGAGACGCCCCAACTGTTCCTCTGCGCCTTTGACCTGAGAGGGAGAGCTTCATTCAAGAGGCCTCAATGCAGCAGCACTCAGCTGCTGCAGCCTGTAATAAGGCCAGGGGAGGGGAGGGGAGGGGTCCTGGTACACAGGCCTATGGCAACATGGATGTTGTTGTTAGGTCCAGTGTTTGGTTATGAGGCGGGGGGACTCATTCAGGGATTGAAAGGGGAACAAAGAGGAGGCACGCTCCTCCTGAAGAGCCCCGACAATGACCTGCAGGCATGGGGTCAGAGTACAATAACCAGGGAGCAACGAGTCCCTGGGGGGCGGGGCAACATGTTGCATGCGATAGCAGAAACTGTGAGGCAGCTGATGGATGGCCAGGATGTTTTAAAATGCCCTTTCCTATAGGATCCTAGATTACTTTTCAGTTTTGAAGCAAATCAAACATATACTACCTCTTTTCTTAAGCATTTCTTATTTTCCAAATTTCTGCAGGCGCCCTCATCTCTGCCGGAGGTAACAGGTAGCTGTGTTTATAGAGGCACAGCATGTCCAGACTAGACTTGGACCAGCAGAATCAAAATTTGAAGAGGAGAAAAAACAACGAACCGGGATGACTTCTGCTGGAGTCACCTTTCCCTTCATGACTAAAGCAACATCTGTGGCACGTAAAAATACCTCAGATTTAACAAACTCACACTTACCATCATCCGGATGATCTCTGTGTTTTTCATGGTAAGAATCTGCCGCTATTTGGGACTGTCTAGCTGCCTGGAAGAAAGAAAACGAAATGGAAACAAGAGCAGAAACGAATCAGTCAGGAAGGTCTTAAAAATCACAGTTACACACAAGAGATGTAAACGGGCACTCCGGCGCTCGGCACCTAAAGTAGAACAAGCACACACACACACACACAGAGGGGACATGGTGCAGCTTCATCAAAGCTTCAGAGGAAACACTTAATTAAGCTTCATGTCCTTAAGGAGCTTACAAATTAACTTATTTTCAATACCACTGCTCCACTATCATCGACATTTAATAGCTTTAGCCTCCATTTTTAGATTTCTACAAATTAAGAACACAGAAAACATTTAAAATTTCCACGTGATTCTCTTCGCCCACAACTGCCATTTTTGCAAACAAAAAATCTGATTTATATTTTTCTCTTTCTAGGGGACTTCACATACTCTAAGGATTACTTTAGAGGGACCCAGGAAACTTCATTATCATCCAGCCTCCAGGGGACATTTGGTGAGGAGCCTGTGCTGTTTTGTGAATGTGATGGGTAAAAAATTAAATAAAATAAAATAAAAAAAAAGGGATGGTGAAAAGCCCATACTTTCCATTTCTACACTACAGGAACAGAACACATTGCATGAAATTAATAGAAATTTTAAGAAAATTAATCCTTGATCATTTGTAATCACTTTAACCAGAATTTATTTATTTATTTATTTTTTTTTGTCCTCACATGGAGAAGTTTTAAACACACAGGAGGGGAAAAAAAGAAGGTATTTTAAAGCACTCAATTCTCATCCTTCAAACATGATATGTTTAAGCTTTATTTAAAAGATTAAAACTCTTCAATTAAGCATGATAAAATTACTTTCAGGTGATTTTCAGGCCAAAGTGGTTTTACGCCTGTTTGTGTGCAGAGGCTGCTTATCACACCCTGCTCTAAAGGCCCACATAGTCTCCAATCTCCTGAATAAATTTTTTGATATTTGCATTTATTTTCAGATTTCCCAAATAAACACTTTTAAATGGAGACTCTGGATGTTTTTCTCTCCTACAAATGTGAATTGTTTTTACTTTATTTTAGTAGCTACAGGATGCATTAGTAAAGGCCCCAAACATCTCATCTCAATTGTTTGTTTTGAATATTTTCATGCATTTTGTAAAATAAATTGAAACTTCAAATGTATCTTAATTAGGATTTTAAGGAGCACAGGTCAGTTGATAAGAATCAAAGTTAAAATGCAAACAATTTTTTTTTCTGGTTTTTAAAATGAAAATTATATAGGAAGCCAGTGGTTAAAGTAGAGTTTCCAAGCAGCAGCAGGAGGAGGAGGATCAGGCGGTGCGCCTTCATCGTGACTCACATCGTGGCTGTTGCTGTTGGGGCTGATCTCCGACTCGTTGACCAGGGAGGACTTGATGTCCGCCAGGTCTCCCTCCTCCTCCGAGTGGCTGAGCTCGGCGAAGATCTGCTCCTTGTGCGGCTCCCCCTCGTCTTTGAACGGGATCATCTCATCCGTGGCGCAGAGCTCCGGGTCTCCGCCGCCCGACAGCTGAGGCATGGTCCGGGCGTCCTGGTCGGCTGCGGGGAGGCTGAACTCCGATCCGAGTGGAACCGAGTCACGGTGGGAGGCAGCGGCGTGGAAACGGCGCGCCGCCGGTGAGTTGTTTTCACGCTGAAGCAACAGGAGGAGCGAAGCTGTTTTTTTTTTTTTTTATATTCCTCCTTCCAAACTTAGTGAAAAAGCAAGAAATCTCAGAGCATTGTTTAAAGTCATGAGGGGAAAAAAACAAGTTTAAATCTCACTTTCTGTCTAAATTCATCTGTGATCCGGTGAAAATGAAAAAGTGCATTTCAAATATATGTCCTTGATCCAGTGAAAGGAGGCTTCGGTGTTAGATCTGCAGGGTCACAGTCAGGTAACTGATGGATGCAGCGAGAACAAGCTGCATATAAATCCAGAGCTGCTCAGGTGAGGACGGAGTGGCGCAAAAAAAAAGTGCGCAAAACAATCCAGAGAACAAAAACAGAGCGACTTCCCACCGCTCCTACAGAGCTCCTAATGATAGCAGAAGCCTCTGTGTGTGGATAATGTAGCGGCGCTCCCTCCTCCTCCTCCTTTTCTCCCCCCCTCTCCTCCTTCTTCAGTCACTGGGAGGAAGGAGAGATGAAAGGGAAGCCGGGGCTCTGATTGACACTCCTCCTGAGAGAGAGATTTAGCTCCAACAAATGGGGAGACAGGAGCAGCCGCTGCCTGCCTGGGAGCTGCAAACTCCAAACCTCCTGGAGAAAAAAAGTCCAAATTACAAATTAGAACAAGACAACATTCTGAGACGGGTTTTACAATAAAAAGTGGAATTTATTCTTTATTTTAATAAATTTTTAGGATAAAACACGTGCTACTATGTATTTTTTTTCTTATTTAGACAAAAATAAACGCCTTATTTTATTCTAATAAAACAAATGGTTGAGGAAATTTAGTTTTTGAAGGCATTGTTAAAAAGATTCGGCTTATGCATAATAAGAAATGATAATTGGAAAAAAATAACAAGAAAAAGGTGTTTAAAATTAATTATATTTAAATGCAGGGGAATAATTACCTCAGTTTGTCAGGTCTTTGCTGTACTGATGTTCAGTATTTCGCTCAGATTAAGGCCTTATGAAAATTAATTAATTTATCATTTTATAGAAATTTCGAGAAAGAAAAAAAGAAGCCATAATAAAAGAGCAGGCCAATTAAAAATACTGTTTTTTGCTCTTTATTTGACAAAGCTTCGAGAGTGATGTGTGAATATTACTAATAGAATAAAAAACGTAAGTGAAAAAAAAAAAAAAAACAAAGGTTAAAAAAATGTTTTAAAAACTTTTAAAATATCAAAACAAAACAATTAAAAGGAAGCGAGTTGGTCAGTTTTTTTTTTATGGATATTTTTTTTCACTTAAAGCTGATAAAGCATGGAGGAATAAAAAGCGCTGGAAGAGGCTTGTTTTCTGTCTGAGTGCTCAGAGGTTGCGTGAGAATCCAAGTTGGGATCTGGAGGCAGGTCTTTATAAAGCGCGGAGGTGGGGTTAGCGGGGCGGAGCCGCGGCTCCCTTTGATCTAGCGGCGGCTGGCTCTTTCATCCCTGACTCTCCCCCCCTCCGCCTCCCCCCTTCTCTCTCCCCCCTTTTCTCCCTTTGTATGACTAAATTTGGGCCGAGAGTGGATCCGAGCCAGCGTTTCCACGTGTGAGTTCATCCCAGCTGAGAGAGAGAGAGGGTGAGAGAGGGTGAGGGAAGGGGGTTCTCTTCCGGGTAAGGAGACGGCGAGGAAAAAAAGGAAAAAAGATCAAAGGCTTTCGGGTTTTGGATTCAAAGCGCGAGACTGGCTGCATTCCAGAGTATAGCGGAAAGCGCGTGCTCCTCCACGCGCGTACAGATCCAGCTCTGAAAAAAGAGAGAGAGGGGGGCTAATTAAAGAGATTTCACACAAGCAGATAGAACAACTGAACCTTTCATTAAAAGACCTCCTCAATATTATACAGTTTTAGTTTCCAGCCAAAAAGAGCAATGAAAATGTAAGAAAAAAAACCCACTCTGGCTGTTTTCCTTTTCACCCTGTAGAAAAAAGTCTCGGTTCTCTACCTCATTACACTATTTAATTTAATTATCCGGCACTTTTGTTCTGCCGCAGTTCACCTACATTTACCTAACAGGAGCAAGTTCCTTTTCTTTACTTACCTTTGATATGGTTTTAAATCATAAAGCTGGAGGAAGTGATGGGGAGAGATTTTAGGTCGCATTAAGGCCTGCCAGGATCGGCCTGCTGGGCCTGAGGAGGGATCCAAAACAAGCAGATTATAGAAACCATCAGCTTAAATTATTCACAATCTTTACCCTTTTATTGTTGAAGGATCAGTTATTCCACATTTTATCAATACAAATAAACCTGTTTGATTTCTCACTTATTTTTCTTTCTTTTTTTTCTTTTTTTTTTTTTTGCCTTTGACAGTTTATCACATTTAATTTTGGGACCTGATGTGAAAAAAGTAAGACTTACATTCAAACCCTTTTTACATGCAGAGTATTTCAATATATTTCAAGGGTTTGTTTCTAGCTAACAATTCAAAAATTAAAAATTTCTGATAAAGTTAGAATTTGACATAAAACGAATAAAAGAGGACTTCTATGATGGAGACATCTGCTCTCTAAAAAGCTGCCCTTAAGACAGTTATTTACACAAAGCAAGTGAACGTTCTCAGTGCTGTAGACAAGCATAGAGATGGAAAGTTGAGTGGAAGGAAAAAGTCCTGCAGAGATAGTTGCCTTTTCTTATTAGTCTTTTGTAGCATTCTTTTTCAGACAAACTGAATTTCAGATCTTATTGATTTAAATCTACGACCATTGAAATGAACAAATATATATATATATTATATGTATTGCCCTTTGTGAAATAAACTTAGGTTCTGTGCGTTGTATGCAATGCTAAGCAGTAAAAAAATTCAGTTCCACCTCAAGCCGTCGTGAAATAAAATGGCTTATAAATTTAAATATAAACAGCTTTTATCTTTTTATGCAGTTCATGTAGATATTCTAGTAATTATAAACATTATATCTCAGGAGTTGTTTCTGTTAAGAAAAATGTTTAAAAATAATATTAAGTGACAAAGAATTTAAACTCAACTTAAACAGTCCATTCAAATTAGTTATTTAGTTAGTTCATTAGTTAATTAATTAATTAGTTAGTTAGTCATTTGTTTAACCCAATTCAGTATGACGATTGTAAAGTAAAATATTATTTTTTTCCCCTTAGTTTTGTTTTCTCTGGTTACCTTTCCATGTTACTCTGCAGCTTTAGCTTGAAGCTTTTTGTCTGCTTGAGACTTTGCTTATTGCAAAGTGTGACAGTCAGGCAGTGTTCAAGCTAAAGCTGCTCTACAAGACAACCACCCGTGCTTTATCCCTCTTCTGTCCTCTAGAACTTTGCACGGTCAACAGTGACCCGTAAAACATTAAACACAGAGCACACACTGTGCACGCACATATACTGGTGTCAGTGGAGATTTTTGTGTAGGACGATAACTGTAGTTTAACATTTATTTTTTAGATAATAGTGGAGGTGAAGGCAGCTGATGGGTCTGATCAGTTTTAAAGACACCCACCATTAGTTGTAACAGCAGACTTTATATGAGAAATATTTATTTCAATACAGTAAAAATACAGTAAGCTTTTAGTTTTAATAAATGTAAATATTGTAAATAAGACATTGTTTACACTGCCATGCATTTGTGCTAAATAACATATGCTAGGTCCTGTAACTTTGTTCAGCCTAAACAGCGACGGCTAATGTTAAATCTTTTCATTTTGAATCAGAGCGCATTAAAATGAATGAGAATGTAGAATTTAGATGTGATGAAGATGAGGAGGTCCAAATGGAGGAAGAAGGAACGGTAGCTGAAGAAGCTGGTTTTTGGGAGATGCCAACCCAGACATAGAGCTATGCTACTTAGGCTGTCTGAAAGCTATTTAAATGAAATTTCATCTTGTAAACCCTCTGTGTATACAAAAGGATAATAAAGTTTACCAAGTCTAAGTTAGCTTTCCTGTGTTCACTCTGTGGGTTCTAGTCCAGTAAGATCTAATGGGAGATATACGCCAGGCGCGGCATACATGCACACTACACATAGGTTACGGGTAGGGATGGGAATCGAAAACCGGTTCCTGTTAAGAACCGGTTCCGTATTTTCCGATTCCATGGCATCGTTTGGCAGCTCGCTGAACGATTCTTTTTTCGATTCCCGCAGCACCAGAGCCTAGAGCGCCGGCTCTGGGGAGCACGACTTACGTCACGTTTTTTACGTAAGTTACGCAAGTTACGCAAGTTGGAAGAACAATTCGAGGAGGAAGACAACGAGCTGCGGTCACTTTGTGAATCAAAGCCCCGTCTTTCCTTAGCCCAGAGGGTAGATCAGGAAATCCAGCTCTATAAAAGCTTGCCCTCCATCCCCTGCAGGGATAGCGCCACACTGTGGTGGTGGAACAAGCAAGATACGCTGCCCTTGCTATCTGACTGGCTGAAAACTACCTCTGTGTGCAGGCTTCCTCCACCCCATCTGAGAGGGTGTTCTCCACGGCTGGAGACACCATAAGCCCTGAAAGATCCCGTATCCTTCAAGAAAAGCAGATATGCTCATCTTTCTGCAAAAGAAGTGTTAATTTTCCCTACTACTGTTTTATAATTAGTATTTTTTGTTATTTAAAATAGGTTATTATCCCATAATTTGTTATTAGACATTGTTGGTTATTAAGTTTGTTCTTGTATTCATTTTTCATTTAAACACAGATGTTACTCCAGTTTCACATTTCCTGTGGACATCTTGATCTTGTTGAGTTTGTAAGATTGTGCCATAGTTAAGTAAACAAAGTTGATTCTGATAATCAAACTGTTTGTTCTCCTTTTACCCCCAAATTGGAATCGAAAAAAGAATCGATAAAGAATCGAATCGTTTCATAGAATCGAAAAGGGAATCGGAATCGTGAAAATCTTTTCAATTCCCAACCTTAGTTACGGGTCTACAAGTTTTCCATTTTAAATGATTTACACTGGATGTGTAACATGCTCATTCAACGCCCATATCACGCCTGCAGATACGCGTCACTGTTCCGAATTTAGGATGAGTTTCTAATTTCAGACGCGTATATGCTCCCGTTTGAAAGAAACAGAGACACAACATCCGGTTTCACAGTTCAGGCTAAGGTGCGTCTTCTACTTGGTGCTTTTTCTGCAAGATAATAACTAGGTTTGCACCAATAGCGATATTAGTATCGGCCAGGGCCCTGATCCAGCACTAAAATGGCGGCATCGGTATTGGTATCAGTACCAACAAATAGGGCACTGATACCATTTTGAGAGCCAAAAGTTTATTCAACTATTGTCACCCATTCCAGGTAGGCAATAAAAAAGTTCTACTGGATTCACTTTGTATTAGTTTATTTCCTGCTTCACAAAGGTAGGCAGCAGCTTAACAAAGTCTGATGGCAATTATTTCACATGCAAGTAGAATGCAGTTCTTCATATATACACACATCAATTTCAAACAGATAGTATCGGTATCG